AGAATCAAGATGGATCAACCAGAGTTATGACAGATATCCGATACGTGCCCAGTTTGAAGAAAAATCTCATCTCGTTGGGAGCCTTGGAATCCAAAGGCTCAGTAGTCATTATGAGAGATGGAGTTTTAAAAGTCACATATGGCGCACTTATGATGATGAAGGGCATCAAGAAAAATAATTTGTATTACTACCAAGGTAGTACAATTATTGGAGCAGTTGCAGCAGCTTCCGGAGGTGATGATTTTGACGCAACCCAGTTGTGGCATATGCGGTTGGGACATGCTGGAGAGAAATTCTTGCAAATTCTGGCAAAGAAAGGATTGTTGAAAGGTGCAAAGGCTTGCAAATTAAACTTTTACGAGCATTGTGTTCTGGGAAAGCACAAGAGAGTGAAGTTTGGCACTACTATACATAATACAAAAGTTATTGTGGATTATATTCACTCAGATGTATGGGGTCCTTCAAAGACATCGTCTTTGAGAGGAAACCATTATTTTGTAACTTTTGTAAATGACTTTTCCAGAAGAGTTTGGGTGTATCTGATGAAGTCTAAAGATGAAGTGCTCTAAATTTTCCTAAAATGGAAAAATATGATCGAGAACCAGACTGGTAGAAAGATCAAGCGTCTTAGGACGGACAATGGAGGGGAATATAAAAGTGACCCATTCTTTGACGTTTGCCATGAGTATGGTATTATTCGACACTTCACTGTTAGACATACACCACAACAGAATGGGGTGGCAGAGCGTATGAATCGAACACTATTGGAGAAAGTTCGATGTATGTTGTCTAATGCTGGGTTAGGCAAGGCATTTTGGGCTAAGGCTGTGACATATGCTGGCCATCTCATCAATCGTCTACCGTCATCAGTGATAGGATGAAAAACACCATTGGAGGTATGGTCTGGAAAACCTGCTACTGATTATGATTCCTTACATGTATTTGGATCCACTGTTTATTATCATGTGAAGGAGTCCAAGCTTGATCCGATAGCAAATAAGACTCTCTTTATGGGAATCACCCATGGAGTGAAGGGATTCTGCCTTTGGTGTTTATACACCAAGAAGATAATTTGTAGCAGAGATGTTATATTTGATGAATCTACCCTAGTAAAAACGGTAACAAGTGAAGCTGTCCAGACAAGTAGTACTCCGCAGCAGGTGGAGCATACTCCAAAACAGGTGGAGTTTCAGCAGACGATGATCCCAAAAGTTGATGCAGCTGATTCTTCAACTCCAATAGAAGAATCAGAAGATGAAAAGGTTCAAACCCAAGAACCATTGGAGACACCAGAACCACTTGCAGTTACAAGGCCAAGGAGAGAAATTCGTAGACCTGCTCGATTTGTTGATATGGTGGCCTATGCTCTTCCAGTTGTTGATGATATCCCTATCACTTACCAAGAAGCAATACAAAGCTTGAAAAGTGATAAGTGGAAAAGTGTCATGGATGAAGAAATGCAATCTCTCCAAAAGAACAACACTTGGAAACTAACACAATTACCGAAAGGTAAAAGAGCAATTGGATGCAAGTGGGTATTTGCAAAGAAAGATGGATCTCATAGCAAGAAAGATGTTCGCTACAAGGCACGGTTGGTAGCTAAAGGCTACGCTCAAAAGGAGGGAATCGACTACAATGAAGTATTTTCCCCTGTTGTGAAGCATTCCTCCATTAGAATATTGTTGGCCTTGGTAGCACAGTTGAATTTGGAGCTAGCTCAACTTGATGTAAAGACGGCTTTCTTGCACGGTGATTTAGAAGAGGAGATCTATATGACTCAGCCAGAAGGATACAAAGATGGTGGTTGTGAGAAATGGGTTTGTAAGATGAACAAATAGCTATATGGATTGAAGCAATCTCTGAGGCAGTGGTACAAGCGATTTGATAGCTTTATGAGGAGGCAAAAGTACACTAGGAGAAAATATGATCATTGTGTGTATTTGCAAAAGCTTAAAGATTGATCTTTCATTTATATTCTCTTATACGTTGATGATATGTTAATCGCTTCGAAGAGTCAAAAGGAGATAGATAAATTAAAGGCTCAGTTGAATCAAGAGTTTGAGATGAAAGATCTAGGTGAGGCCAAGAAGATTCTTGGTATGGAGATAAGCAGAGATAGACAGAGAGTGAAGCTTTGTTTAACACAGAAGCAGTATCTGAGAAATGTATTACAATGTTTTGGCATGAATGAAAATACCAAACATGTAAGTATCCCACTGGCTTCTCATTTGAAACTTAGTTCTCAATTATCTCCTAAAACTAACGAAGAAAGAGAGTACATGGCAAAATTTCCATATGCTAATGCAGTTGGGAGCTTGATATATGCAATGGTGTGTACGCGTGTTAACATTTCACAAGCAGTTGGAGTTGTGAGCAGGTATATGCATGATCCTGGAGAAGAACATTGGCAAGCTTTGAAATGGATTCTACGGTATCTCCAACAAACCGTGGATGTTGGTTTAGTTTTTGAACAGGATGAAACACTTGGTCAGTGTGTGGTTGGATATGCTGATTCTGATTATGTTGGTGATTTGGATAAGCGTCGATCAACTACTGGGTATTTTTTTACTCTTGATAAAGCACCAGTAAGTTGAAAGTCTACATTGCAATCTACGGTGGTCTTGTCTACTACAGAGGCATAATACATGGCGGTTTCAGAGGTTGTAAAGGAAGCAATTTGGCTTAACGGGTTGATTGAAGACTTGGGAGTTGTTCAAAGTCACATTAGTCTCTATTGTGACTGTCAGAGCGCTATTCACTTAGTGAAAAATCAAGTCTACCATTCAAGGACTAAGCATATTGACGTGAGGTATCACTTTATGCGGGAGATCTTTGAAGAATGAAAGATTCTACTTCAGAAAATTGCGACATCAGAAAATCTTGCAGATATGATGACCAAGGTGGTAACAGTAATCAAGTTCAATCATTGTTTGAACTTGATTAACATCCTGAAAGTATGAACACCTTCGGGTGTGTGGTGCTTGTGAGCGCAATTAGAGGCACTACAAATTTGGGGAGTTGAAGAAGTTGAGTAGGCTTGGTAATTTCAAGCCAAGGTGGAGATTTGTTAGATTTGTCTAGAAATTAAGTTGAAAAGTTGGAAATTTCATCTTGGTTGGTGGCCAACTTATTGGAAATTTCATCTTGGTTGGTGACCAAACTTTGAACATGTGAATTTCATATTTGGTGGCTAACTTGTACACATTGGAAAATTCTTTGGTAGGTGGCCAAACTTTGAACATATTGTTCTTAAAACTCAACTATAAATAGGCCTAAGTATTTCCATTAGAAACCATCCCAAAAACAAGTTCTCTCTTCCTCTTGTATTCTTCATTCTCCTACTTTGGGAATTCTAAAAAATTCCATTTGTTGTAATATTGGCAATATAGTGAAGTTATCATCCGGTGTGGTGCCCGAGGAGTAGACTATATTCTCATCGAACCTCGTAAATTTGGTGTGTTCTCTCCTTTATTGTTTTTATTCGGTTCTTTTCCTTTGTGTTTCAATATCCAATAGTTTGACAGATTTATCTGCTGTGCAACCTTTGGTGGTTTTGATCTTGACATTTTAGGTCAATTTTGAAACTACGTTCGTGTGGGAAATAACCCGATTTCCCCAACAAAAGCACCAGACAAAGTAGATAGTCAGACAACTGTGTAAAGAAACCGTCGTATGCAGCAGTGGCGACCAATCAACAAACGAATGACATCAATAAGACTGAAATTTCTTGAGGATGAGATTGTCTTTCATGAAGGGGATGTAAACATAGATCGCGGTGACAATGGTGGAACTCAACGTTATTGTCTAGGAGCAATTTAAAAAAAAATTGTCTATATCAAATAAAATATTTTAATATTTTTGTCGATATAAATTATATATCAAAATATTATAATAAAGGAAAATTTTATAAATCCTTTAAATTCATTTGTTTATATAAAATTTAAAGAAAAATATATTAATAATAATATTATCTAGAATTGTGTTTTAGTTTTTAAAGATAAAAACCCATGTAATAAATAAAGACTTTTGAAATAAAATTACAAATATAAATTGAATTAAAAATATTTAAAAATTACTTTCAACTGAAATGAAATTAAAAATTAAATATTTTATAACTTGATTGAAGTCCTAACTCAAAGAAGATGAACAACAACAAAAAATGCAAAGTTTTTTTTTTGAAATCATAAATAAAAAGGGAAAATTAATTTGCATTTATTGATATTTAAGTGATTTCTAAATTTTATAGTAAACACAGGAAAGTCTCACGTGCGGTAACCTAATATACGGTTAAGAAAATGCGTTATAGGAAATGTTATTATTTTTTTAACATTACCTAAAAAATTATTATTTCTACTGAAAATATTATTATTGGGTGATTTACCGAGTTTGTTAACATATCCGATAAAACGTTACCTAAAATATTATTTTTTATACCGGAAATGTAAAAAAATGTTAATGTTTTAGGTAAAAAAATAATGTTTTAATTAATTTTTTACTGAAAATATTAAAAAAAAATAACATTTCCGATAACGCATTTCTTTAATCATATATTAAGTCTACCGAAAACTTTATAGTAAACACATTTTATGGGACAACCAAATTTAGTAACCTATTGTACAGGTTTTCTGATGGGTCAGACTTAAAAATATAATATTATATATTAGAGTAAACTATACATTTAGCCATATATATTAGAGTTATTGGCATGACAGGTGATCAAAAACAAATATTCATTTGATAAATGGGGCCAGCCAAGTTACTGAAAGAAGTGGTGTACGCAATCTCCCAATGCGTTCACTAAAACATTTTGCATAAAACAAACACCCTTGATCAGATATCACGCTAAGTTGTTCAATCTCTGTAATTAAACAATCTCATGCAATTGGGATTGCTTTAAAGAATCTATAGATATAATCATAACAAAAGTGTGACTGGGTTATTCAAAACCCATTTTATAGCTATTGCTACAAAAGTTGAAGATCAATTAGCTTTCAATTTATGTAAAAGTTGATCAGAAATGGAGAATCTAAATCCCCACGTAGTCTTCTTGCCCTTCCCAGCGCAGGGCCACGTCAAGCCCTTGCTCAAACTAGCAGAGCTTCTCAGCCATGCCGGTTTCCAAGTCACCTTCATCAACACCCAATATATCCACCGCCGTCTCCTACTTTCCATCGACGTCGACGCCTTCCAACGCCGCTTCCCCAACTTCCACTTCTTGTCCATCCCCGACGGTCTGCCTCCTCACCATCCACGCTCCCTCGAATATCTCCTCCCATCTATAGGCTCCGCCACCTTGGCTGCACTTCGTCGGTTGTTGGTTTCTGATCTCCTCAACCGTACAGCCACCTGCATAATAGCAGACGGGATTATGCCTTCTTCTGCCGTAACCGCCGGTGAAGAATTCAGGATCCCTGTATTGGCGTTCCGCACGTTCAGTGCTTGCTGCACCTGGACTAACTTTCATTTGTCCAAGCTCATTGAAGAAGGGGAAGTTCCAGTACAAGGTTAGCTTAACCCTTGTATAGTTTTGTTCTTCTTTCAATCATATACATATATGTATTGTTTTTGAGTGAACAATTTGCAGATAAAGACATGGACAAGCTGGTGACTTGCATTCCAGGTTTGGAGAATGTTTTAAGACGTCGAGATCTTCCAAGTATTTGCAGGGTCCAGAAAGCTGGGGATCCCATCTTGGAATTCTTTATCAAGGAGGCTAAGGCCATGCTGGGAGCATCTGCTCTAATACTAAACACATTCGATGAACTTGAAGCTCCCATGGTATCTAAACTCACCTCTTTCTTCTCCAAAATCTACACTATCGGCCCTTTGCATGCCATCTCAAATGTCCGTATCAACGACGACCGATCACATTTAGCATCCACAACAGGTATTCTGTGGAGAGAAGACAGAGATTGCATCACTTGGCTCGATTCCCAGCCATTAGAATCGGTCGTCTTCGTTAGCTTCGGCAGCATAGTGAGCTTCGCGCATGACCAAATGCTCGAGTTTTGTCATGGCTTGGTGAACAGTGGAAACCCATTTCTGTGGGTCATACGACCCGACTCAATCATCGTAGAAGATGGTGATTCGGGTCAACTCCTGATGGATCTCCAAGAGAGGACGAAAGGGAAGGGGTTGATAGTGAGTTGGGCCCCTCAAGAGCAGGTGTTGGCTCACCGAGCCGTCGGAGGGTTCTTGACTCACGGGGGTTGGAACTCAATCATGGAAAGTACACATGCCGGGGTGCCCATGATTTGTTGTCCTGTTATATCCGACCAACAAGTGAACAGCAGGTTCGTGAGTGAAGTGTGGAGAGTGGGTTTGGACATGAAAGATAGGTATGAGAGGTCAGTGGTTGAGCAGATGGTAAGAGATTTGATGGAAGCTAAAAGAGACGAAATCATGACGATGATGGATGGGGTTGCAGAGCAAGCTCGGGAGAGTGTTAAACAAGGTGGATCTTCTTATCGGAACCTGCAGATATTGATCCAAGACATCAAGTCGATGACTACTTAATTTAACTCCACCCTACTTAAAAGTTTTAAGTATTTTATTTTATAATACTAATATTTAATTTATTAGTGAGTTATTTGAATTTAGAAATGTTAAAAGTTTTTTATATAATAATGCTATTTAGAAGATTTATGCTTTATTTTTTTAATACTAATGTTGTATTTAATTTAAAGAAGGTTTAAGGGTTTATTTTGTATATGAAGTAAATTAAAGTTAATGGTTTTTATTATTTTTCTAATTCCGTCAATTTGGTTTTTAAAATTATTTCATTGTATTAATTTTATCTTTGAATTAACATCGATTTTTGTAGTGTTGACATGATATTAATGTTTAATTTATTATTAAGTTAATTTAAATTTGAATATTTTAATAATTTATTGTAACATGAACTAAGTGACTTTAGTAATCAAATATAATATTGTTATTTTTAGAAGTCCTCGAATCAAGCACCAATGATTAAAGAGAATTCAAGCATTTATTGTCAAATAATAGAAAGTTTTTAGAACATGCTAGATTAATAAAAAAAAATATTATATAATAATATTATTTTTAAAAATTAATGTTTTAATTTGAAGAAAGTTTAAGGGGTCGAACTGATTCACTTGAATTTATTGGTGTAATGATCTTGTTTTAAGTTTTTCTCCAAATTTTCTCTATTAATATGTGGTTTATCCTTTTTTTTTTCTTTATTGATCAACCGTAACACCAACTTTAATGTTGGTTGTCGATCTTAAGTATTTTTTATTGTCATTTTTTATTTTCAATAAATCTACCAATATAACACATTTTTATCTATTTTTTATGCCATATTTTTGTAATAGTTTTTTTGGTCGTTTGGTTGTTGTTTTCACTTATCTTTTTTAAGGGTTGATTTGATATCGTCATGACTAATTAAGATGACGTTTATATGTTATATTGTTGATCTTTTTTTGCTTTGGACACTCGAATGAGATTTGGATATACGTTATGTGTTCGTGAATAGCTTTTTATGTCGCTCAAGTATGATTTGCGATTTTTCGGTGGTCTTTTAGTAGCTTAATTCCCTTTGTGATTCATTTACCGATGTGATCAGATCTGTTTGTATTTATCTTTGTTTGAGTTTCTTGGTTAGATTTTAATCTTTCCTTTTATGGTCTTTATGTGGTATTAAGTTGGTAATTTTGTTTTAATGATTATAGGCAATTGCTCTAATTTTATGCTTAATTCATGATTATGATTGTAATTCTTCATTGCAATTTTGAATATTTCCTATTTCTAATAAAATTAGTGGTTTCTATAAAAAAGAAAGAAAGTTTAAGGATGTCCTAAATGGTAATGGTAGAAGGAAATATTGTCCTCTCTAGAGGACTCAAGTTTGAGCATTTGTATTTGTAAGGTTTGTGCATTGTCGATAAACTAAAAATTCTAAATATATATTATATTGTAATCACCTTATATTATAATTTTTAAAAGATTCGATAATTTTGTCTCTTCTTTTTAATTGCATTAATTTAGCCATCAAAATCATTTAATTGTATGAATTTTACTCTTTGACCGATATGTGTCAATAGGCTAACATATCGATCCATTGAGTTAATGTGTTAATTCACTATCGTGACATGACAATCAGTGTGTGAATGATGAGGTGACATGAAATTGAACTGATTTTTAAGTCATCTTTAAATGCATAATTAATTTGTTGACCGAATTTAATGACATAATTAATATAATTGAAAGTTCATCAATTATTTATAATTTAAGAAAAGGTAAAAAAAAATATTAGGTTCGAGGCACTATTGTTCACTGGAATAAATTTAATAAATTCTTATTGAAAGATTAAACAAACCCTTGATATATTGATTATAATCAATTATGCATTTGAACTCAATCAAAAATCAATTATGTCCTTAAAATCAATTAAAATTAATAATTTATTCTCTCAATAATGTTATCATTCATATATCAATTGTCATATCAGAGTAAACCATCAAATCTACAATATTAACTACCACGTCACTATCGTAATGATCAATGTCAGTCGAATAATAATAAAATTTAATTATTTTAAGAATATAGTTTATTCAATTAACCAATTAAATTAAAGGTAGGCCTCTTAATATTCCACCCTTTCTACGTTTAAAACACGTGGAATATCGAAAACGGAAAATAATTCTACATCAGTCATGTCATTAAATTTTTAACAGTGAAATATTAAAATAAAACATAAACTGAACGTTACATATGATTTTGAAAACAACTAAATTCTGTATTAAAATAGGACAAAATTATTATTTTTCTAGTTATACATCTTATTTTTCTTTTATTTTTGTGTGATAAATTTAAATATAAGTTTTAATAAAATATTAGATTTAACTTACCGGATAAGAGTAAAACCCATCTTTCTTTTGACAAGGGATCATGGATTTGAGTGAAATGTATTTTAACTTCTTAATTGATTGTCTTTAATAACATGAGTGTCTGATAGGCTTCCAAAATGCATATTTTTATTGGAAACGTGTTCCACAAATTTTCATGAATAAAGCGTCTGTTTGGTTCCAAAAATAAAGGATATGTTCATTTTCTTAGAAAATAGAAAATGTTGGAAAACGTGTTTAGTTGTAAAATAAGAAAAAAAATTAAAAATGAAAATTTAAAAAATATATAAATGGTGTTTTCAATGTTTTCTTAGAAAATTATTTTCAGAATTCAGGAAATTATTTTCAAAATTTAAAAAAATGAAAAGTTACAATTTTACGTTTTAACTTAAGAAGGAAACAAAACATCCATGTTTATTTCTACAAATAGATTATGAAATCTAGGTTTCAATGACGGAATCAACTTTGAAAACTTTAAAGCTTATGTTATTCTCGTCACTCATAACTTGTATTTTGAGGATTTTTCAATAGTATCGATATTTAATTTTGTTTTGTTAAAATTTATGATATAATTGGAGGATCTTTCTGCATTTTTTTACTTTTGTCGTAACCGTTTTTTTAAAAAAGGAAAAGTGGAATTTGAAAACCACGTCATTTTTAATTTATTTATTTTGATTGATTAAAAAAATAACATGAAACAAACCTCTCATTTCGAAAATTTAGAAATTATTTTACAAATAAAAAACATATGGTTCGAAGAGTCGCCACCAATCTTTGATTAGGGTGTGATTGGACACCAAAAAATGTTGTCATTTTAAATAAAAATTAATTTTAATTAAAACGACAAATTTGCGGTCTATGTTACCAAAATATGGGTTCGGGAGTCGATGACGCGTGGGGAAGGATTAGCACTCCCACAGCGCTCTAAATCGGTACCTCGTCGATTAATTAATGTCTTTGCAATGAAATTTATAAATTCAACTTTAATTTAATTTTTGATCTCTTAAAACAACAAAATACGAATTTTATAGCATTCAAAAGCCACGAAATAGGTTAAATTAAAATTACCAAGCCATTAGAAAGATAAAAAATATTCGATTATTTAAAAATATTGAGACCAGATCTTTAGGTCAGTTCTAACGACTTTTTCTCAACAGATTTAAATAGTCGAACATTTCTTTTTCTTTCACTCCCAAATTTTAAGGTGAAGAATTAATTTTTTAGCGACAATGATGGGATACACTTGTAATTTAAAATCGTCAAGAACAACTTTCCTATAAGTTGAGAAAAATCATTTTGACAGTTTTAAATTAAAAGGGTATTATCCTTAATCCGATTATGTGACTTGGTTGAATCGTACATATGAGGCTAACATGCAAAAAAATAAATAAAAAAAACACTTAACAAATAATATATACAAAACATTCCTACAATATGACACTTTAAAATAAAAATTATATACCTATTTTATTACCACACATTATACTGTATATATATATTAATATGCATCACAAATATGAATCAAATGCAGAAATAAAAACATAGCCTACCAAACTATAAAGAAAATAATACATTTTAAAATGATAACTAAATTATATTAGACATAATTTTACTATCTAAAATACAAACAAAATGCTAATTGAAATGGACACATGAATAACACACATAATAAATAATGGAACCAAAATTAAAACAAATCATTACCATAAGGGACTAAAATTAAAATTACCAAAAGATGTAAACCAAAATTAAAAGGAAAAATAAATGAAGGCATGACTAAGTGACGTGGAGACAAAATAAGAGGGACTGCATAACTTATTTACCCTTGTTTATAAAAGTATGGTTTGATGCACTGAATTATTGCCATTTTAATTAAATAATATTTATATTATTTTAGAACTAAGCTAAACCCTATAGCAATATCGCACTATTCTTTTCTCTCAGGCAGTCCCTCTCACTCTTTTCCATCTCTCATGTACTGCCGGAAATAATGGCTCCTCAAGCCAAATAAATCTCGACCGGCCACCATCTCTTCTTCACTCACGGCCGTACCCCAAAGACCCAAGAGTTGCCACCGGCCACCGCACGGCCACCATACCGGTGAGGCCCGAAACCAAACCAAACCCTCTAAACCTAGACCTAGCTACCTCAACCGATTTCTCTCAAAAAACTACCCGAAACCCACTGTTCGGGATTTAACCACTTAGCTCTCGTCCTCCACGCTCGCTCGACTCCGGTGAGAACAACGGCTAAACAGGTAAGGGTCTAAATCTCTTTTCTTATTTCGCTTCGAGCTTTAAAGTCTAAAAATCAACTCTCTAACTCCTCCCCTCATCTTCAACAGTGGAACCCGAACAGCCACGAAACGGAGCCGACGAGGCCCCACCGGCGTTCACAACCTAGGTAAATCTGCTCTATTCCTCTTCTTCTCTTTATTTGTTTTGAACACACACACACATCTGGAAAAAACGGGAAAACGAAAACAAATAAAAAATACCTTAAATCTCAACTTGTATCTCAATTGCTTTCTCGACTTCCCTGAATACAATGGTCAATTTTTTTTACAATCTATTTCCACGGGTTTTTTGAAATACCCTGATTACATAGAATTTTTTTTTTGACGGAACTTTGCTCAACTGCCCCTCCTTTTCTTGATTGCTAACCTCTCGTTTTTTCTCTCCCGTGATAAACGATCCCCTATTTATAATTGTTTC